TTTGATGCTTTACAATCAGTTTTCAAAATGAATTCTTTATTAATTAAATCATCTTGAAATTTTGAAATACATAAAACAATTGATAAAATCTTTTTTTTTTATAGTAGAATAGTTTCTTTGAGGATCAGTCCAGACTCTACTAAAAAATCTAACTAATTGTTCTTGATTTGACATTTTTGGAATCTGCTTTAACACTCCACCATACCCTATGTCGAGGCATTTGTTTCAACAATAATTGAGGCAAGTGGGTCAAGTATTGAAAGGCAAGGTATACTTTTGACTGCTGCTTTAGCCTTTTGAACAGCTAAAGTATGCTCGTGACTCCAGGGATCAGGACTCTTTTGTAATCTTTTGAAAAAAGGGGCACATATCAATCGTATATCTTTAATAAAGTCTAACGTAATTGACACGACCAAGAAGTCTTTGAAGATACATTTTTCAAGGATTTGATCAGGAAATTTTTCAGCAAACTCAAAACTTCTTTGAATAGGAATGATGGTTCGTAAATGAATGTTATGTCCTAAAAATCTAATACTTGTTTGACATAAAACAGCCTTCTTAGCAGAAAATGCTCAACCATTTTTCTTAACAACATGAATGAATGAATGAATGTATTAATATGCTAGAAATGTTGTTCTATGCTTTCTGAAAATATTAGAACATCATCAATACAAACAATGATAAAATTTGAAAATGGATTGAAAATATTATTCATAATTTTTTGAAATTCAGAGGGAGCATTTTTTAGACCAACGGGTATAACATTCCATTCGTATTGTCCGAATGGAACATTAAATGCAGTTTTGTATCTATCTTCTTCTTCTTTGATTTGAATTTGCCAAAAACCAGATTTCATGTCAAATTTGGAAAAGATACAAGCTTTGAATAATCTATTAAGAAGATCTTTCTTTTGAGGTAAAGGATAACGAATTCATTGAAGAGCGGAGTTAAGAGGTTTATAATTGGAGCTTGTTTGATAGGAATTTTAATCCAATTAAAATTGATATAATCGTTATTGGGACTCACTCGTCTAATAAAAGTCAACAATAACGGCTAATTTTTTAATTTTAATCCAATTTTAATCTCTACCAAACAAGCTCTTGATAACCAATGGTGGGGCTCCACACTCGATTTCAATTGAATTATTGACATAGAAAGCCGAACAACTCCGAGGAGATTTACTCGGCCGAATAAGACCATTATCCAACAGATCATTTATTTCCTTAATACAATGATCAAGTAAATCTTTGTTCATTTGAATTGGTCTAGATTTGGTGGGAATATTTGATTCTTTGAAATCAAAATTGTATGGAAGGGATATAATATGTTTCTTTTTATTCCAAAATGCATTTGGAATAGTAGAGCATATTTCCTTTTCAATTTGATTTTGAAAAACTGAAATTTTATTTTTTATTGAAGACTCTTGTAGCTGTTCTTCTATTCTTTTAAATTTGATTTCTTCTTTAAGAAATTGAATATGCTGTTTTTTTAAATTTATATTAGTAATGATTTTTGAAATTGTTGCTTCTTTTCAAGATTTAACATCTTTAAAAGAAGGCGGATTTGAAATTTTGAAAAATATTTCTTGACCAAATTTTTTTGTAGATAATCCTTTTGAGTCAGCTTTAAAAGGATAAATTTAAACAATAAAAGGTGTATCAAGAATAACTTCTTGATCTAAGTCTTTAACACGATAAAATATATTTTTGAAACAAATGTTTAAGTTACAAACATGTGCTTTTGAAAGTTTATATTGAATATTGATTTTTTTACCACTGGCTCTATTAATCATATTTCCAATCATTTCGAAAATAATAATAATAATTGAAAAACAAAGGATAATTGGCGCAAAACATCCCTGCCTTTGAAGGTTTTTGTCGAAAACGTCCCTATCTTTCTTTTTTGGCGCAGAACGTCCATACCTTTCACCATTTTTTGCGCTTAACGTCCTTTTTACCAATTTTTAATATAAAATTATCATTATACGCTCCTATATAAATAAAACAAAAAAAGAAAAGAAAAGAAAAGAAAAATAAAGAATAAATTTCAATCTGCTCCTAAATTTTTTTAAAAATACAAATCAGTCTGAAACACTCATGGTCGCGGACCACACCGGCACACCTAGCCCAACCATGGGTCTAAGTCAATTTCGACCTGAAGCCATTCAATTCGTGGGAGAAATACTATGTTCCGAAAATTATAATTTGATTTCGACCAGAAGTTCTAACAAATCCAGGCAAAATTGTGGAAGACCCATGGGTGGAATAGCTTCGCCATTATGAGAGGGTGTTGAATGGAGTGGTCCGCGACCATGGGTCAAATGGACGACGTCGAAATCAGCCAAGTTCGGTGCGCGGCGCGATAGTCGCGACTGCGTTATTTTCAGTTTCAAATTGAACCTATTGGATAAGTGTTTTGGATGAATTGCCCACATGGCTGAGGTCGTCTGAGTGTGGGCAACTGGATGGTGGTGGTCTGCGATCCTGTTGCTGGGGCGAGGTGCAACTTCCAGCAATTGTCCATTTTTCGAGTAGCTGATTTTGCTTGTTAATTTTTGCCGGATTATTGGATGTTATGGGGAATTCTTGGGATGGAATTGTAGAGGGTGTTGAGGAGATTGTGTTGGTACCAATGTCCAGAAGTTGTGGNTTTTCAAAAGAAGTGATTTAATATATATATATAGATTCCTAAATTCTCACAAATTATTACCAACTTAGAGGAACATTGAAAAACAAAGGGTAATTGGCGCAAAACGTCCCTGCCTTTGAAGGTTTTTGTGGAAAACGTCCCTATTTTTCGTTTTTTGGCGCAGAACGTCCATACTTTTCACATTTTTGCGCTTAACGTCCTTTTTACCAATTTTAATATAAAATTACCATTATACCCTCCTATATAAATAAAACAAAAAAAAAGAAAAGAAAAGAAAAATAAAGAATAAATTTCAATCTGCTCCTAAAATTTTTTTAAAAATACAAATCAGTCCGGAACACTCATGGTCACGGACCACACCGGCACACCTAGCCCAACCATGGGTCTAGGTCAATTTCGACCTGAAGCCGTTCAATTCGTGGGAGAAATACTATATTTCGAAAATTGTAATTTGATTTCGACCAGAAGTTCTAACGAATCCAGGCAAAATTGTGGAAGACCCATGGGTGGAATAGCTTCGCCAATATGAGAGGGTGCTGAATGGAGTGGTCCGCGACCATGGGTCAAATGGACGACGCCGAAATCAGCCAAGTTCGGTGCGCGTTGCGATAGTCGCGACTGCATTATTTTCAGTTTCAGATTGAACCTATTGGATAAGTGTTTTGGATGAATTGCCCACATGGCTGAGGTCGTCTGAGTGTGGGCAACCGAATGGTGGTGGTCTGCGATCCTGTTGCTGGCCGGAGGTGCAACTTCCAGCAATTGTCCATTTTTCGAGTAGCTGATTTTGCTTGTTAATTTTTGCCGGATTATTGGATGATATGAAGAATTCTTGGGATAGAATTGTAGAGGGTGTTGAGGAGATTGTGTTGGTACCAATGTCCAGAAGTTGTGGCGGTGGAGAAGAGTAGATGTTGTCATCAAACGGTGGAGGTGGTGGAGGAGAAGAGAGAGTGTTTTCGTTATTTTTAATATTTTCATAAGTTTTGGACTGATTTGCATTTTTAAAAAAGTTTAGGAGCAGATTGAAATTTATTCTTTATTATTCTTTTCTTTCTTTTTTGTTTTATTTATATATATTGGTCCTTTTATGTTAAAAATTGGTGAAAGGGACATTCAACGCAAAGAATGTGAAAGGTAGGGACATTCTGCACCAAAAAAACGAAAGGTAATGATGTTTTCCACAAAAACCTTCAAAGATGGGGACGTTTTGCGCCAATTACCCAAAAACAAAATTTGTGGAAAAGAATTTTATTAATTAGAGGTGGCTAAAATTTGGTGAAATTCGTTGCTATAAATAAAACCCTACAATAAAATAAATAAATAAATAAAAACCCTCAAGATTCACAAATATTTGAGGAGAAATCGGAAGATTTTAGTTGACTATACTGCAAAACATATTAGAAAACTTCGCTGCAATTTGACCCAAATATGAACCCCATGTCTCCTTCTCTCTCTCTCTCCTTGTAAACAAATAATGTTCCTCATAAAATTCATTAACATCGTATAATAGAACAGGAATATTGAAACAGGGTCTGTGGATTCATTTTCTGGGAGGTGAACAACTTGCATGAACGGATATACGGCGGTGGCAAGATGGCGGAGCAAGAAGAAACACCGACGACCACCTACAAGATTTTCAACAGCGGTGATGGTGATGGGGCGGAGGCAGCGGTTTTAAAGAAAGGGAAGTGGACAGAGGACGAGGACGAGAAATTGAGAAGAGCTGTGGTGGAATATGGGGTCGAGAACTGGGTAGCCATAGAGAAATATTCGGGTTTGGCAAGGCAGTCGAAGAGTTGCAGGCTCCGATGGATCAACCATTTAAGGCCTAATCTCAAGAAAGGTCCTTTCACAGAAGAGGAAGAAAGAATTATCATCAAATTGCACTTTAAATATGGCAACAAATGGTCTCGCATTGCCTCCAAGGTATGTATGTACATTCATCTCCAATTGAATATTTTGAGGATTTCATATTAATTTTTGGGGGTAAATGTGCCTATGCAGATACCTGGGAGGACAGACAATGAAATAAAGAATTTCTGGCACAAGAGAGTGAAGAAATGTAGAAAACATCATCGTCTTATTTACCCAGTATGCATAGAAGATGATGATGAAATCCCTGCAAATATAGACAACACCAACAATGAGAAACATTACGCTGCTGACGAAATAAATGTCGATGATGAATGCTGGCTAGATGGCAATTGTACCCCCACCAATTATCCCGACAATACGATCCATTCACATTCACATTCCATTCACTTACTTGATCGATCTCAATATTCCTCGCATAATCTACCAAATACTACACATTTTCAAACTCAACAGGCGTCAATCTCGCCTCGACCATTGATCACTTCACCACAAGATGAACAACATTACCATAACTCGACTCAGAGACATTTCCGACCCAATGCTCAACTGCAATCCCTCGTAGAAACATCATCTCCGATTCAAGGTTCTCCATTAATGCAGCAAGGTGTTGCTAATGCTCTCATCAAACCTTTCAGGAATACTCAAATTCTTTCCTCTCCAAAAGGGAAATTCAGGAGGTTTCATAGAGCCACCAGTCTACTGTCTCCACGGGGTCACTCTGTCTCACCGTCGACATCTTCAATGTTGGATTCATCAACCATGGAGTCACCGAGATCCTCATTTAAACCCAAATTACTGACCCATGTATCCTCCTTGCCTTCTCTTCAAATAAGTACAACGACTGCAACTTCAACTTCTTCTGTCCCACCTCTCAACCTAGAATCGCCTACCTCGGTGACATCATTATCTGGACTCAAACTCGATTCACCAACCCCCGCACCAGTTTCTCCTCTCAAATTTCAATCGTCCACCAGTGCAGCTTCAGATTTTTGTTTCCATCCAAATTTATCAAACGTGTATTCATCCGGTGCGTTAAATCCATCAACTGCAGCACCTACACTTTCTTCTTCAAATTCGAAACCAGTACCTTTAAGCCTGGATCTGCAGCCAATTCAACCAAGCCCATCTCATTCTTTTCAAGTGACCAATCTGAATCCCTCGTTTACTCTCAAATCAGAGCTCCCTTCAATCCAATTTTCTTCACCACCAGAACTTTACTTACATAAAGCAAAAAGTGATGGCAATTTGGAGGTCCTAGATGCACAAAAAGCAGCACAGGCAAAGGCAAGGTTCCGGAGGAAGAACTTGCGGCAGAGCAGAATTTCAAATAAAAAACTGAAGGAAATATCTAGGAAAGAAGACACCTCAAGAGCAAGTACAAAGGCAGATGATAAGATGGACAGAGCATTGGACAGATATTCAAATAAGAGTTCACGGAGAGAGTGCTTACCGAGTTCAAGCTCAAGAACAGAAGCCACACACGCCAAAAACTCAACAAGAGATCTGTTGAAAATCATCTCACATAAAAATAGTGTTACGAGTGATCTATTAAGAGATTTATTAGTTGAAAGTGCAAGTCAAGAAAATGTATTGTGCGAACTGCTAAAATCAGAAAATCCAAGCTATATGCCAGAGGTTCTATGGAGCCAAAACCCAAACACTGAAGAGCCAATACTGGGGGAAAGCTCAGAAACAAATATACTGTCAGATAAAAGATTGCACAGAGAAATGGATTCAATAGCTGAAAATATGACCTTCCAGGAACAAGCATACGAGGCTAATTTATTGGATCCAGTTAACAGAAAAACCAATACAAACACTCCTTTAAACTTGGATGGCACATTGCATCCCATACAACTTCCAGCAGGCAACTTTGTGTGTGAATTCAGAAGCAGAGAATGCCCGTCTAGCAAATGCTCACAAATATTTTATTCACAGGAAAGTTTCTCGATGGAGGATTTGTTTGGACAAAATTCTGGGACGGAGCAAGTTCCTGTTTTCGATGCGTTTGGTCCACTCTACAGCCAAAGCACTACTACTACACTGTTAAAATCAGGTGATGAGATTGGCAAATTAAGCTGTCTTCAACCTATTGATGATGAATACTTTCGTAGTGGATCAAAAACAAAATACACAGATAGCTTGGTGAGAAAATTTACTGAAGAACAAAGCCGCCAAAAGGACGATGGTGAAAAATTGGAACTTCATGAATCGAACCTGTTATATCATCAATATCCTACTGTCAATCTGATAGAATCTGGCTGTGTGGTGACAGACCCAAGCATAAAATCTGAACTTCAGGAAGTCAGGGCCGGCTCGGGAACAGAATGTTCATCAAGTAAAAACCTTGAAACGAGAATATTCCTGGATCAAAGCTTTTACCCGGAAAGATTAATGGCTACACAAGAGCAAAAGCCTTTAACAGATGGAGTCGTTCCTGCTGTTAGCCAAAATACCATAACTCACTAGGGGTACAATATTGGATCCAGGAATCCCGCGAGGTTTCCGAACATGTTACTTAATGCATCCAGCAGAATATCAGTGTAAAAGCTACATTGTTTTTCCAATCATTCTACTTTAAAGCAGTGGCTTTTCTTTTTCCTTTTCTTGGTAGAAGGGTACTAAAAGTGACAGAAGATGCATAGCTGATTTCTAGTATTTAACATGACAAGTCTCAAAAATTTATTGTATTTGTTAATTATATGTGTGGATAATTATACAGCAATTCTGTTCCTGTCTATTCTTAAAATCCCTTTGATCTTTCTTTGCCTCTTATTGTTGACGCTGATCTTCTAGAATCTCCCTCTTAACGGTTTGCACGTGCTGTTGGTTGTAATCACTTGGGACCCACGTGATTTCACATTGCTGCTCTGATTTGTTTTTCTTGCTGCCCCCGCCCTGATCCACCTTGCTGTGTCTTGCATATGTCACTTTAATTGGTGGGCCTATCAGGCAAAACAATTAAAGCAAGAGGCAAGAGGACAATCAAATGAACACCATGTACAGAAGAATTATCCAGCCTGCACACGTTTTTCCCCACTGCTGTCCAGATTCCAGAGTGGTAAAGCAACAGTGGTGCAATCTATTGTACCTACTTTTCAATCTAGCAACTCAAAAACTGTATTCAGTAATAGCCCACTAGAAAATGTGTCCCTTTTCTGTCTGTGCTGTCTGTGTAAAGCATATAATGATAGTGATACTGATAATCCCATAAATATTATTATACCACCATAGATGATTGGTTTCATTATAAGGAGTGAGACAAGTATAACGTAGAAAAGCCTAAACTTCCAAAAGTAGATATATCTAAGCAGAACAACCATAATGAAAATAGCATAATATTAACATTCAATAACAAAGTAGCAATCACTTGTAACAATCTTAGGGGTAGATATGCTGGAGATAATTAAAGAGAATTTACAAGATTTGGGGTCTATATACATATTTCAACTTGACTTCCACATCAGAATGCTCCAAATGTGTTCTCCCCACTGTAAGTCATGTATAGGAAACCATCCTCATCCTTATTGTCCTCATAAATTGTAGACATCATAGCAGCTGCAATGGCACCGAACAATAAAATGCTCTAAAACAACTGAAATATTTTGAGCAATAGAAATTGCAATGTCAAAACTGTTTAACGTTCTACTCACCAGTTGGCGGAAGAATGTTCTTGACAAAGATAAAAATGGCCTTTTCAGCACTGAGCTTAATCCTCTTTCGGACAACATACACAAATTGTCCAACAGTCAGATCAGCAGGAACCAGATATCTGTATAGATAAAGACTAAAATTATTGCGGGATAAGTTAATAAGGAAAATGTAACTAGATAACTGCATTTATCATATCTAACCTGTTATTATTTGAGTAATTAGTGAGAAAAAAAGGGAAGAAAAGGAAGAAAAGCAATTTAAGGGGTTACACAATTTACAATTGACCGAAATCCTATGCAATCAATTGTGAAAATAATGGAAAAGACCTGCTTCACACTTCAACAATATGACTCCACCCCCACCGAGAGAGAGAATAGTGGTTGTTAGGCTGGGATGCTAGGTGGGGGTTTTGTCACCGCCGAACTTTTAAAGATGCCTATCTTGAGTTTGTGGTATGTTATAACTTAAAACCATAATTCCTGTTGAATAAAACCTACAGTTGCAACTCCCTACTGTTCATCGCCACCATTCACAGGATCTGTTCAGTAACTACGACAACAACAATAATAAGATATGCCCTATTTCCAAAATTATACCAATTGAAAAGCAGAATAACAAAAAGAATATTGGCAAATATAAAAATTATACACATCCAACAACCACAACTGTTTTCAACAAGGTTCAAGTATTGAAAAGATATTGAAGATAACTGACTTCTTCTTATCAATGTCTGGTATATCACTTTTTTCTGCCTTCTCCACAATAACCTGAATAGCAGCAGCAGATTTTATGACAAGAACAAATTGAAGGAGATAAAATATCATGATCCTATAAGTCATGAATGTGAAAAATGAATTCTTCAATACCGGAATTCTATCAGGATACTTTTCCCTGATTCGAGCAGCTTCTGCCTGTCGCCTCTCTGCAAAATTAGAATTAATAGCAGTAGACATTAAAAATGATAATGTCAATACCCTAAAAAATGTACAAACGTAATAAAAATAAAAAAATTAGAAGAGCTATCATTATCTTTCAATGCTAGAAAAGATAATAAAATTAGACAACTACTCACAAACCATCTAGCTAGTTATATTGCTTCAAAGATGAAACATAAAAACAATTACAAACTTGCTGAATTTCAGTGGTCATGCAATTATGTTCCATGTTTGCATCAACAAGTGAAGCCATTTTTCAAATCTCGAGGAGCCCTAAAGCCCCGCACGTCACATGGGTTTTGGCTATAGAACCTACTTTGTAACATGTTTCCAAACATTGGAAAACGTGAATAATTATCATTAACAAATATATATTAGCCATGTTGGTGAGAAGGTTCTCAACTTAATGGAATATACAATAATTGAAATTCATATCAGGAAAATGAGCTTTGCATTTGGAAAGAATTAAATTTTGACACGCACTCTAATTAAAAATTCATCATTCATTAAAAATAACGATAAATCATCCATTCGTGTTATTTTTTTCTCGTGTAACACTACAAATTACAAAAAAACAACATATCACACCATATGCGTAATGTCTCGACTCAACTAAGTCCCATTTCATATGAACTTTACACTAGTACGATCACAAATTGATTATCCACACCACAGAAGTTCAAAGAAACATGGAACTGAAGATATTTTTGGCACGATCTCACTTGCTTAAATCAATTATACGCTATTATTATCAATCAAATCGAAAGAATCAAAATTTCAAAAAAAAAAAAAGTAGTGTGAATCAACGAGCAGGTAATCGGAGAACAAAGATAACATTGCACTTACCGAGGGGGTGTTCCAACTTGAAGGGTCTCTTGGCCATGGCGACTGTTTAAAGCTACAATTCGGACGATTAGTTCAACTGCAAGTGGAAGGAAAACGAGAAGGCGCAATTTCTAGGGTTTGATATCTTCGAATCAAAGAAAAACTTGCGTGAAAAGGGGACCTATCTTTTCAGTGTCGGACGCGTGGTAGAAGTACAATGTAGAACAAAAACTTGCGTCGGGGGTATATTGCATTATTCGTCCTCAATGTTTGAGTAAAGTAGCAGACCTACCCTCATTTGTTTTGTCCCATTTTTGTCCCTAACCTTTAGATATAGGAATATGCTACTTGTATATAATATCGTTTAGTCTTTTGTTAAGGCCCTATTTGGTACACATTATTTTTTTCATTCTCATTCTTCAACTCATTTTCAACCACACATTCGTCAATAAAATAATATTTTCCATCACATCAATAACTTTTCCTTCATTTTTAACCACGCATTCTCCATCAATCTACTATTCAATAATACATTCTTTCAAAAGAATGTGTACCAAACACACTCTAAATTTGTGTAAAACGACAATTAACTTAAATAGATGAATAATTGGTACAAAACTCCCTGACTTTGCCCCTACTGCGAAATACTCCCTATCGTTTTATTTTGACGAAAAATCCCTCTAGATGACATTTTTCGTTCAGAATACAACATTTTTAAGCTATGTGAAATGATGACTATGCCATCATTTTTAAATAAAATAAATAACTAAGTACAATCATAGTCCCAAAAAAATTTAAAAAGTGCAGACAAATTTCAAATAAATAATTTATAATTAGCGGTGGTCATGTGACCTTTTCAACATGGAACGGGACCATAAGCTTAATTTTCTCAGTAAGTGTTATCAAATCCTCCTACTGAACAATCATTCAAAAGTTCTACGAGCCATAGTCATTCACAATATCCATTGCGTGTTCGCCAAGCTGACGAAAACAACAATTTGGTGAAAAAAAAAAAGCAGGTATTGCCAATTAAAGTTTCTGTCAACTCGAAGATCAGTAAAAAAGTAATAAACTTCTTATCCTCAGCTGAGTTGAAAATTGAAAAATCAAGAAAAGAAACCTGTCCCCAAAAAGTTTTACATGTGAAAGACAAACTATAATGTAAAGCAGAAAAAAAGCTTGCTTAAGAGTACAAACTTATTATGAGTTCCACTAAAGCCATAATGATCCAGAAACAGGCTATCACAGCATAGCAAGAAAAACTTGTTTACATTGCTCCTATTAGGGTTGCTACAATGATCATTATGATCTTCCTCCTTTGTTACAATTGAGCAGATTTCGACTGCAACCTCTATCTCTATCTTTATATAACATATACATTACAGGTAAGTATAACGTACAAATCTCTTGAAATGTCGTGTACAGAATAGACTTCCAGGGGTGGGACAAAAAGGTGCATTTGCACTCCACAACCATAAAATGCTCTAAGCTTTCCCAAATAGTCCTTGAATTCCAGAGATTGGAGAAATTTGATGCATTTCAGAAAATTGCATTCCACAGAGTTTTCTCACCTTCGCCGCATCGTCTGTGAACCTCCTTAATTCTATCGGCAGAATTGCAAATTCCACTGCAGCTCCAGTCAAAGGAAGCAACACAGATGTTGCCTGCCTGAGCCTTCCACTCACAATCTGCGGTAAAATCAACATACATTTAAGGAAATTAGCAATTACACATTATGTTATTTCTGTTGTTTCTACTTACTTTTGGGAGTAACATGGCTAAGAATGCTTTCATACAATCTATTCCTATTATATTTTAAAATAAAATAGAACTCCCAGCCACATAAAGATGCAGTGCATTTACATTTTTTATTCATCATTTTTCTTAATAGTGACTCCAGATATTTTTTACTACCAATGATGAGAAGGAGCGATTGAGGGAACTCAGCCAACTGGCATCCCAGAAAATCAAAGAAGATTGACATGCTACCAGATTCAGCAACAAGATCCAAGCAGCTTCATAACAGTACTAAAAGTATATATTTACTGACTAGAGATTTTGACTAACAACAAAGCTCATAAGTTCTACTAGCTCATGTGGATGTTGTACAGGATTGAGATAAAACCAAGTGCAAGCGAAGTTACATTGGGTAGTTCAAAAAACAAAAAGATGATGAATTTTTCAGTAGATTTTGAAGTTAAAGTGGGCAGCCAGGTATTTGGTTGTTTCGTGGACTTCTCAAACATAAGCATGCAATGGCGAAATCAAGTTTGGCAAGTTCCCATGAGATGGATATGCAGTGAATCATATGCCTCCGTAGGAGAAACTTTGTGAAGACGCATTGATTTCTTAAGGTTGAGAAATATCTGTAGATATTACTACACTGTTCAAAGTGTCGAGCATTAGAACTTCTTCAAATAATGCAGATAGGAAAATTCATGCTCTTAAGCAGTGTTCTAAAAGACAGGGAAGGCGTGAGGCATGAAGAAAGCGTCCCAAATATGAAAAAAGGCAATCAGCCATATTTTGACCACTTATATTGCGGCCCTAGGTGGCAAAGGTAGTAACTAATGCGATCCTAGCTGTCAAAGAGAAGACTATTGTGAACCTAGGTGTCAAAAGGCGCACACCATTTAATTTTTTTCAATTTTTTTTTTTTAAGGTAAACTAAACTAATTAAATAAAAAGAATCATTATTAATAATCGTAGAGTAATTAAATAATATAAAAAATAAAGAAATGCCTCATTACACCTAGGT